CTTTGGTCATGTCAGAAGGGACCATTCCCTGGAAAAGGATCAAATGCTTGGTAAAGTGGATGGGCAGCGAAAAAGGGGAAGACCCTCAACAAGATGAATTGACACAGTGGCTGCAACAGTGGGCTTAAGTTTAGCAAGGATTGTGAGGATAGCACACAACCGGGCAGTGTTTTGTTCTGTTGGACATTGGGTCTCTATGAGCTGGAGCCAACTTGATGGCACCTGACAACAACAGCAATGGAAGGAAAATGTCTAACATACTAGGCTGAATTTCCTGTGTGACCAATTACTATGTATGGTCTAAGAACAGTTCATGTTTGGGTTTAGCTTTACTAAAGGTCAGGTGTCATCTCTCACAACACAGTTTCTTATTTGGGGCTCAGAGACATGGATCTTACTCCTGTACCCCCATCTCTAGTCTTTGCAAGGCATTCCATGGGTGCATGAGGTGAATTAGAATGTGAAGACGCTCATGTAGAAACAGCAGAAGGTGATATGGCAGGTGTTGGGCTTTCCTCATAATGTTTTCACATCTGACGTCCACCATAAAGTTACCGGTTTTCTGGCCTTGGCAGCATCTCTTAATAACAAATGTTTGATTTATGTCATTATAGGATTTAAAATATTAAAATAATGGCATAGCACTCACCAGAATTGTTCACAGTTGTGATACGTGCACATAGCGTTGTGATTGCAGTTATCCTCACTTTCTCATTGACATTTACCAGAGTCCCCCTCTTGGCTACCTCCTTGGCATATACACATATGCCTGTCTCTCTCATCTTTGCAAATGAACAAACACTGCTTTGACGCACCTCTTTTAGCCCCTGCCTCATGTCTTTGCTCTCCTTTATGATAAAACTTAAGAGAATTTATGGTTGCTGCATCCACTACTTCTCTGCCATTTCTCTCCCAGCCTTCTCCCCCTACTGGGTCAACAGTGACCTGTTGCTAAATCCAAGGTCTCTGCCGGGTGCTTATTCTACTTCTCAGAAGCATCACAGATGGCTCTTCTCATTCTTTAAACAGTGTTTTTCTTGATTCCTCTTCACTCGCCCTTCAGTCCCAGTTTCTTTTATTGATGCCTTCTCCTCTGCTTAACCCTACAAATCCATGTTCCTCGGCTGCGTCGTGGGCCTGTACTCTAGCTACATCCTCCTGTGGAGATTTCATCAAGTGTTGTGGCTTTAAATGTCATCTCTATGCCAGTGGCTCCTCCATATTTGTATCATGTATCTGTGTAGACCCAGTCGCCTAATAAACACATTAAAAAAAAAAACAAAAAAACTTCTTGGTTAGCTCATAAGTAATCTCAAGGGTAACTTGACCAAAACACAACCTTCTTCCCCAAAACTTCCTCCTATAGTTTTTTCATCCATCCAGTTGTTTAGACCCAATTTTACAGTATATGAATTATATCAATTAAAAAGTTAACTTAGAATTTTTCTTTGCCTAAACCCCACATCAGGAGCTCTGGTGGCATAGTGCCTAACCAAAAGGATGGCAGTCCAAACCCACCAGCCACTCCTCAGAAGGAAGATTGAGCAATCTATTTCCATAGTGATACCACCTCGGAAGCCCAAGGAGGGGTCACTATGAGTCAGATCTGACTCGACGGCAGTGAGTTTGGTTTTTGGTAAACCCCACATCCAGTTTATCAGGATATCTTGGTTATTCCATCCCGGCAACCAAAAGTCTGTCTACTTTTTATGTCTAATGCTGTAACTCTAAATTAAGCCAGCATAATTTCTGGCCTGTTCAAGCTGTAGTCACTTCTAGACTGATATTCCTGGTTTCAGCCTTACCTTTCTGCAGTCCAGTCTCCACAGAGCAGCCATAGTGATCTTTTAAAAATGCAGATCATTAAGGATAGACAAGTAGATCGACGATATAAAATTGAAAGTCAAAAAAAACCCATACATTATGGTCAGTGGATTTCCAACAAGGATGCCAAGACAATTCAGTGGAGGAAAAATAGTCTCTTCAACAAATGATGCTGAAACAACTGGATAACTACATGCAGGAGAATGAAATTGGATCCCCTGCCTCACACCATAAACAAAAATTAACTCATAGTGTCTCAAAGACCTAAATATAAGAGCTAAATCTATAACACTTGTAGAAGAAAACATAGCTGTAGATCTTGATGACCTTGGATTAGCCAAAGGTTTTTTAGGACACCAAAAGCACAAACAATCAAAGAAAATATAGATGAATTAGGCTTCTTCATTGTTAAAAACTTGTAATTCAAAGAAAGTGAAAGTACACCCCACATAGTGGGAGAAATTATTTGTAAATCGTATCTGATAAATGTTCAGTATCCAGATAATATAAAGAACTCTTGACAATTCAACAATAAAAAGACAATCCAATTAGAAAATGGGCAAACAATTTGAATAGATATTTCTCCAAAGAAGATATGCAAAGTTTCAATAAACATATGAGAAAAAAGTTCAAGATCATCAGTCGTTCTTGTGTACCATGGAGTCTATTAAGACTCCTAGCGACTCTATAGGACAGAGTAGAACTGCCCCATAGGGTTTCCAAAGCTGTAATCCTTATAAAAGCAGATTGCTGTATCATTCTCTCACAGAGTGGCTGGTGGATTTCTAACTGCTGACCTTTCTGTTATCAGCCAAACACTTAACCACTATGCCACTGGGGCTTCTACATTAGTCTAAATTAGAAGAGTGCAAATCAAAACCACAATGAGATATACCCTACTAGATATGTACCAAGGAACTCTGGTGGTGTAGTGGTTAAAGCATTTGGCTGGTAACCAAAAGATCAGCTGTTTGAACCCACCAGCAGCTCTGAGGGAAAAAGATGTGGCAGTCTTGCTTCTGTAAAGTACAGCCTTGGAAACCCTATGGGGCAGTTCTACTTAGTCCTATAGGGTTGCTATGAGTTGGAATCAATTCCATAGCAGTGGATTTTGGTTTAGATACAAACCCACTAGAGCTCTGGTAGCATAGTGCCTAAGGCACTTAACTGCTAACCAGAAGGCTGGCGGTTCAAGCCCACCAGCCACTCCTCAGAAGGAAGGTTGGGCAATCTACTTCCATAGTGACACTGCCTCAGAAACCCAAGGAGGGGTCTCTATGAGTCGGGTCCGACTCGACAGCACATAACAACAACAGGATGACTATCATCAGAAAAACACTAAGTGTTAGCAAGGATGTGTACTGCTGGTGGGAATGTAAAATGGTATAGCAGTGTGGAAAACAATCTGGCAGTTCCACCAAAAGGTAAGCATAGAGTGATGATATGACCCAGCAGTCCCTTTCCAGGAGAAATGAAACACAACACACTGAAGCTGGCACACCAATGTGCCTAGCAGCATTATTCAGAATTGTCCCAAAGAAACAACCCAGATGTCCATCAACTGATGAATGGATTAATAAAAAATGTCCATTTATTGTATGATTCCTTTTATATGAAATATCTAGAACAGATATATCCTCAGAGACAGAAAATACATTAGTGTTTGCCCCTGGGGTGGAGGAAGGGATTGGGGAGTGACTGCTAATGGGCATGTGTTTCTTTTTGGGGTAATGAGAATGTTCTGGAATTAGTGGCTGTATTGTACATCCTTTCGAATATACTGAATACCATTGATTTGTACACTTTAAAAGTGGCTTTTATAGTATATGAATTAGAACAATTTTTTTTTTTTTTTTAGGAAAAACACTAAAAAATGTGTTTCATGTCACCTGACAACCACTGTAAAATCCTCCATTGCTTCCTGTGTTAGTTTGCTATCGATGCTATAACAAATCACCATACACTTGGTGGCTTAAGGCAACACAAGTTTATACTCTTACAGTTCACGAGACATGAGACTCACTGGGCCAAAATCAAGGTGTCCGCAGAGCTGCATCCCTTCTGGGGACTCTGGGGAGAATCTGTCTCCCTGTCTTTTCCAGCTTCTGGAGGCTGCCTTGGCTCATGGCCTTGTCATCCTCAAAGCCAGCAGTGGCAGGTGGAGTCCTCGTGCAGCGTATCTGGTTCTTTGCAGCTGGGAAGGCTTATCCACTTCTAAGGACTTGTGAAATTAGATTGGGCCTACCTGGATGGTCCAGAATCATCTCCCTCTCAAGGTCCTTAACCTTGATGATGTCCTCGGGCCATTTTGCCTTGTAAGGTCACATATTCACAAAATCAACGCAGTAGGACATGGACATCTATGGGGGCTCTTACTCTGTCAACCTCAGTGCCTATCACCTGCATACAAAAGCCAAAGTCCTTGTAACTCACAGGCCTCTACTTGCCTTTCTGATTTCATCCCGGCTTCTCCCTTCACCCATTAGACTATAGCCACGTTGGTCTGCTGGTCTTAAAACAGAGAGTATGTTCTCCCTCAGGGTCTTTGCACTTGTTTCCTTTGCCTAAATTATTCTCTCATCAGCTCTCTGCCTGGCTGACTTCTCCATGTCATTCCAAATTTGGCTTTAGGATCACCCTAAAGACATTCAAATACCAATAAGCTTTCCAGCCAGTAGTCTCATGTGACCCCAGTTTAATTGACTGCAAAGCATATGGCACAGTGAAGAGGTTTTTTTGCATGTACCTGCGTGTATTTGGGAGGGGTGTCTTGCATGTGGGTAGGTACCCCATCTGCCTGTGTACAGCTGTATCTCCTGTGACTCTACAGTTGTGTAACTGGGAAAGGGCAACTCAGGTCCTCCTTGTTCACCAGAGTGGGCCCTGCAGGTAGTAGGAAACTCAGCTTTCCAATAATTTGACCTTGGAATTCTATAGTTCTTGTTGAGCAATTTGCATTATTTCAATTTGCACTGTTTATATTATTTAAAAGTATACCTGTAAAGGGAAATGGTTTGGATGTTACAGTGCATTATAAATTTACACAAATCAGGTTCATAGGAAATATACTATATTCTGTATCTGGGTTTGCTTTTATTTCTCAGTATTGAGAATCTACACTTTTGGACAAGATGGCCTCTCTGTCTCTTACACCTGTGTCACCTCTCTTGCAGAAAACATGCTCTGAATTGCCATCGGATGAAGCCAGCTCTCTTCAGTGTGCTCTGTGAGATCAAAGAAAAGACAGGTAAGCTGTCAGAAAAGATGCTGTGGGCCCCAGGACACATGACCAGACATGTCTCATGTACTCAAGGAGTGTTTTGCTTATCCCTTCTCCAGCAGTGGAAAGTTCATTCTGTCTTGTCAATGTTTATAACTGGAGAAATACTCTTTCAAATAAAGAGCAAATAGATGTGTTTTAGACATAAGACCAAACAGTTGCTGGACATTCAGTTGCTTTGATAAAGGGAAAAGTTACATAATTAGAAAAGCAGAGTGATCCGAATTTTGTTCTTGTTTATGTTAAGCATCCAAAGTAATCATCCTGGATTTTAAAATATTTATTTTGAATTAATTTTAGACAGGTGAATTGAAGAAAGTAGAGTTCTAGTATACCCTTTTCCTCACATCCTCTAATATGTTAGCACTTAATAATCACAGCGCAGTGATCAAACCAGGAGATCAGTATTGGTACCATGCTGTTTAACTGAACACCATCCCATATTTGGGGCTCATCATTTTCCCCCCAGTCGCCATCTCTGGTCCAGGGTCTTGTCTAGGGTCCCACATGCATTTAGTCTCCATGTCTCCTTAGTCTGCTCTGCTCTGTAACAATTACTCAGTCTTTCTTGTCTTCTGTGATCTTGACACTGTTGATAATTAGAACTGCCCAGTCACACAGAACATCCCTAAGTGTGGGTAGCCAAGCACTTCCTCGTGATTAGCTTGCAGTGGTATGTCTTGGCAGGAATCCACCCCCTTGATGTTGTACCTTTCTCATGCATCATTTTGGGGCACATGTTGTCCTGCTGGTGATGGTGGTCACCTTGATTACATGGTTAAAGGTATTAACTGTGACAGTGGTCTGGAGTGGTAGCCACCAATACGCTAGAGGCATCACATCTTCCCAGAGTTAGACCTTGCTCTGTATCCTTGGCAGAAGTGGCAGAAAAACAAGGCCATGCTCTCCTCAGGTGTAGGTTCATCAAGTGGCACATGCCTTGGATTGTCCCACTGCCCCAAATTGCTTGATTAAGATGGTGTCTGCCAACTTGTTCTCTTTAAACTTACTCTTTTTCCCTTTGTAATAAGTATTCTAGGAGCTCTGGTAGCATAGTGCCTAAAGTACTTGACTGCTAACCAGGAGGCTGGCAGTTCAAACCCACCAGCCACTCCTCGGAAGGAAGGTTGGGCAATCCTACTTCCGTAGTGATAACTGCCTCGGAAACCCAAGGAGGGGTCGCTAGGAGTCGGGGCCGACTCGATGGCAAAATAACATAACAACAACAACAATAAGTATTCTGTAGGGAACTATTTGAGATAGTGTAAATATCCCATTCCTCCTTAAACTTTCAATTGGTTTACTTATTTTGTGTCAGTATGGAGTCATAGAATCCATTAAATCAAACTTTGTCACTCTGATTGTCCCAGATTTGGCCAGTAGGAGCCCATTCAAGCTGGCCTCATGTCCTTTTAACATATCTCCTTACTGAGACCTCTGTACTGCTGCTACAACATGTTCCACCCCTTTCTCCAAGGAGCATGGTACAGCTGGGATATTGCTCCCTTTAGGCATTATTGGGAAGCCAAGAGCCGAGGAGCAAGTATGAATATATACACAAGTTTACACACACATTTATGCACACATACATGCGTATTTCTCTGTATCTGTACACATTGAAAACCTTGAGTTCATTGCAGTGTCTTTCATTCTAATCCAACACCGCAGGTCTCATTCTCCTTTTTGTTGATATTTTGTTTTGTTTTATGACGTTACTTGCAACCCCAAAATGGAACAGCGCTCTTAACTTTCCCCCGTGCTTACCATTTTCCTTCGTCCTTCTTTCTCACCCCTTCCTGCCTTCTGAGAGTTACCCCCGGGCAAAGGGTGCCCTTTTGATCTCATATGATTGGTTGTTCCTAAGGAGATGTACCTCCCTGATGTTATTGTTCACCTTATAGGCCTGTCTGTCATTTGGCTGAAAATTGAGTCACAGGGGTGAGTTCGGTTTCAGGCTTGAAGGGTGTCTAAGGACCATAGTTTCGAGGGTTCCATCAGTCTCTATCAGACTAATAAGGCTAGTCTTTTTTTTTATGAATTTGAGTTTTGTTCTATATATTCCCCCCACCCTATCCAAGAGCTCCTCCTAATTGTGATCCCCTTCAGAGCAGTCAGCAGTGGTAGCTGGGTACCATCTAGTTTTTCTGGTCTTAGGGTCTTAGATCCTGGGGTTCATATGGTCCATTAGTCTTTTGGACTAATTGTTCCCTTGTGTGTTTGATTTTCTTCACTCTTCTTTGCTCTGGACAGGAAAGCTCATTCTCTTTACATGCACCGTGTTGTTGCGCATTTAATGGGGATGCTGGCCGGCCACACCCCTGAGTGAAACTGGGGCACATGGCAGCATCACCTCCTCTGCAGGGTCCCACATCTGGCAGTGGCTGTGTGTAGCCCAGTTCTGGAGTTCCTAGGCCTTTCCTCCTGGCTCCCATTGTTACTGATCTGTTAAAATTAGAGCATTTCTTTGGATGAAAAATAAAATTGTTTATTGCAGCAGGAACAGTCCATAAGTGCTGTGTTTCTTGGCAATGGCTCTTAAAGTCGGCAAATGGAACTCTTTCCTAACACGTTCTCTGGCTGCATTTGTATTGCAGTGTTTTGCTGGCTCTTCCTTTGCCCTGTCGTGGTGTGCAAGAGAAGCTGCATGGGAAGCCGAGCCAAGAAGGCTGGGTGGGAATGCAGGTTCCTTACAGGGCCGCCAAGCTGCAGCTCACGAGCATGCAGATGCAGTGAAGTGAATTAATTTGCCTATTGGGTTGAGGTTTTAGTACCTGAAGCTGTGATGTGTTTTAATCAAAAATTAGTTAGAAGTGATAGGAATTCACTTACAGAGTATAATTATTCCTCAGCTCGAGAGTGCATGGGGCGGGCACTGGTAAGTATTTTTAAGGGGTAATAGTCTTTCAAAACCATGTGGGACCAAGAAAGTTAAGTGACTTAAACAAGGATTTACCTACAGTCTGGCATCAGTGAGTAACCTGTGGGGCCTTACCGCGAAGTAATGCAGGTGGTTCTCAACACAAGCAGGTTGTGTCCCAAAAGTCTGCTCCTTTCAGAGTTGTCAGAACCTCAGTGCCCATTACCGCAAGGAAACCATGATAGAAGGTGCTCCTTGATAAATATACCAGTGATTAGTGCTCACCTCTCCTGGGGATCAATTTGGAGGCAATGGAGGGGGCAGTTATGTTGTTGTTGTTAGGTCCCGTCGAGTCATTTCTGACTCATAGTGACCCCATGCACAGCAGAACGAAATACCGCCCGATCCCACGCCAGCTCCGTGATCCTTGCTATACTTGAGCCCATTGTCAGAGCCACCATGTCAATCTATCTCATTGAAGGCCTTCCCCTCTTTCATTGACCCTCCACCTTACCAAGCATGACATCCTTCTCCAGGGAATGGTCCCCTCTGACAACATGACCAAAGTAGGTGAGACGAAGTCTGGCCATTCTTGCTTCAAAGGAGCATCTCGGCTGCACTCCAGGACAGATCTGTTAGTTCTTTTAGCAGTCCATGCATTCTTCGTCAACATCATAACTCAAAAGCATCAACTCTTCTTCGGTCTTCCTTATTCATTGTCCAGCTCTCACATGCATACAAGGCGATTGAAAATACACCGTGGCTTGTGTCAGGTGCGCTTTAGTCCTCAAGGAGACATCCTTGCTCCTCAGCACTTGAAAGAATTCCTTGGCAGCCGACCTGCCCAGTGCTACACGTCATCTGATGTCCTGACTGCTGCTTCCATTGGCATCGATTATAGCAAGCAATGTGAATTCTTTGACAACCTCAATCTTTTCTCCATTTATCGTGATGCTGCTTATAGGTCCAGTTGTGAGGATTTTTGTTTTCTTTGTATTGAGATATAATCCATACTGCAGACTGTATTCTTCAATCTTCATCAGTAAGTGCCTCAAGTCATTCTCACTTTCAGCAAGCAAAGTTGTATCCTCAGCATATCTCAGGTTGTTAATGATTCTTCCTCCAGTCCTAATGCCATGTTTTTCTTCATATAGTCCAGCTTCTCAGATTATTTTCTCAGCATATAGATTGAATATGTATGGGGAAAGGAAACAACCCTGATGCACTCTCTTCTTGATTTTAAACCATGTAGTATTCCCTTGTTCCATTAGAACGACAGCCTCCTGGTCAATGTACAGGTTCCTCATGAGTACAATCAAGAGTTCGGGAATTCTCATTCTTCTCAATGTTATCCATAATTTGTCATGATCCACACAATCAAATGCCTTTGCATAGTCAATAAAACACAAGTAAACACCTTTCTGGTATTCTTTGCCTTGAGCCAAGATCCATCTGACAGCAGCTATGATATCCCTTGTTCCACATCGTCTTCTGAATCCAGCTTGCACCTCTGGACGTTCTCTGTCAATATACTGCTGCAACCATTTTTGAATTATCTTCAGTAAGATCTTACTTGCATGCGATATTAATGATATTGTTCTATAATTTCCGCATTCTGTGGGATCACCTTTCTTTGGAATGGGTACAAATATGGATCTCTTCCAGTCAGTTGGCCAGGTAGCTGTCTTCCAAATCTCTTGGCATAACCGAGTGAGTGCCTCCCATGGAGCTTCTGTTTGTTGAAATATCTCAATGGGTATTCTGTCAATTCCCAGAGCCTTATTTTTCACAAATTCCTTCATTGCAGCTTTGACTTCCTCCTTCAATACCATTGGTTCTAGATCATATGCCACTTCCTGAAATGGATGAAGATCGACCAGTTCTTTTTGGTACAGTGACTCTGTGTATTCCTGCTATCTTCTCTTGATGTTTCCTGCATCATTCAATATTTTGCCCATAGAATCTTTCAACATTGCAACTCAAGGCTTAAATTTTTTCCTCAGTTCTTTCAGCTTGAGAAATGGCAAGTGCATTCTTCCCTTTTGGTTTTCTGACTCCAGGTCTTTGCACATTTCATTATAGTAATTGGCTTTTTCTGCTGGAGCTGCTC